AAACGATAGACTCAGCACCTTAGCATCACCCCATGAGCATCGCATTTCTTTCAAGTCTGTTGCAGTACCCCCCCCCCCTCACATCCCCTCTTCCACACTTACTATCCCTCTACCATTCTCAATGTCTTTAAATCCTTCTGTTAGATGTCCATCAAGTTGCTTTACAGCTCTAAACAAAGATGAATAGCTGTATGTTTTGAGCAAAGCTGAAGTAGTTAAGTACATCATGTAAACATACAATTACTGGCCAGTCATTAATGACCACTGATTTATTGACAAGGTCCATAGTTGAGTATATTTGCCCAGGTGGTGCTGATTTTGTCAAGAAAAATCATATACCATCTTGGTTAGAAATTGAACTAATTTTTATGTTTAAAGATTCGGATACCATTTGTAAACAGTCATAACTTGTGAATTGATAGTAAACGATGATAAACCCCTAATATAATCTTGAAATACAATGAAACAATACCCCTGGGTTACAATGAGAAGACCCCTTATAATACCCCTGGGTTGAGCAATGAGAAGACCCCTTAACTACCCCTGGGTTGCAATGAGAAGACCCCTAAGACTTAAGAGACATCATGTTGTGAAACAAGGCTTAAATGTTAAACATACATCATCCATACAAGAAAAATAACATACTACAGAAAACGTTCCTAAAACATTTTCTATTGGATGGTTGCTTATTGTTTTCCTTACAAAGTGGGGGGGGGGGGCTTTATAAGCAGCAGACAATAATCAGCTTCAGCTTCATATGCCAATGTTTTACTAAAAAAGTGCTCATATTTTGAGGATAAGATTTAAAGATTGATAGATAAAAAAATCCCATTTTAATGTGCCATAGACTTCCATGTTGAAAAAATCAACATGTGAACACCTGCCAATCAAAACACTTTAAGCTGGTCCAAATGGTGTTCGGATTAAGGTTCAGTAAAATTGAGCGCAACATTTCTGAATCTCAATTTTCCATATTCAATTTTGCTGGCTAGAATTGTCTATTGTTCTAGCCAGGATAAAGATACCAGTTCTTCAACTCGACAATGGGAAGAACTGCTCTACCTTAGTGACTAATATGTCATGATATGACATCTAAAGAGTCAATAAAAGATATATATATATAATTTTCTCTTTTATTTTTTTCTTCTAAAAAGTTACCACCTTGACTGTTTGATACACTGTATCACTGACAGATAAATGTAAATGGTAAATGTAGCATGAAAGCATCAATCCATTTCCCAATGTTCACAGTCTGGAATTCCAGTAGTGTAGATTTTTCACCTTTTTATCTCAAATCCCAGTTTGACTCTTCGAAATTACTGAGAATATAAAAATGTGTATCTTTATTTCAAGATTCATGTCATATTTTGATATATAGTGAATAAATTTGATAGATAAAGCATAGAATAAATATTGCCTCTTCTAGTGTGCACCAAACCCCTGCAATCTCCCCATATTATCTTTCCCTTGTGTAAGTATGTGTAGTTAGCGGGAGGGGGGTAAGGAGAATTCCTTGTTATAGGATTTTTCACACCATTTTACGTTTTCACACTCAAACACATTTTTACAGTTACATATTTATTGCATTCTCTTTAAAACATCCCTACATTTATATGATTTGAGGGTCTGATGCCCATATACAGGTGTTTGAAAATTATAAATTAAAATTGATTATATACACCATGCATTTATTACACATTACACACCTCAGTTCTATTCGCTATTTTTTATAACAGATGTAAAAACTATTAAAATAGAAGTTCAGTTTCCATGACAATGGGAAAGAATTATAGCTTGAGTATGTTAAATTAGAGGGTAGATTTTAAAATGATTTTCATCTTGATAAAATACAGATCTACCTGTGCAAAAATGATGTTTTGATTTATTTTATTCCAAAAGTGGAGTATAAAAGATAAAACACTTAGGAATTATAGAAACAGGGTTTGAGTGAAATATACATAAAATTATACTCAAAAATCAAAAATAAGAATTTTCAATTTGAGAGATAAAGATGAAAAAACAGGCTCATCTTTTTGACATTTTTTGCCAGGGTTCATGAGAGAAATCTCTCATGAAATGCATGTTAAAATTAATAAAATGTGATATTTATGGTTTGAGGTGATATACACTGTCGCTTTGAATTGTAAATGATACAATTTTGAGAGTAATAAGAAAAGATGATGATTTTATAATGTATACTTCACACGGAATATTTTATCAAATTCTATTCTTCGATAATCACTCACTGAAGGCTCCCCATCATGATAAATACTTTTCTAGTTTTAAAAAACGTAGGAAAGTATGATGTTCCCCGAATGAATGAGCTCCTTTCTTTTTTGAGAATACAAGCAATGGAAATGATACAGAACCAAAAATGAACAGTTCATAGTTATCTGGGTGTAAAAATATCAGAGATTTTGCATTGAAGCTACCCTGTATTTTCAGCTTGTATATTTTCACCCTCTGCCTATGGTAAATTATTTTAGTTTGGCAATGAACCAATCAAAGACCACCAGAACCTGTTTATGTTTATTTTTACCATATATAGAAAACTCAGTGACTGAGCTGAAAAGAAAGATTCTGGGGCCATTAACTTCGTGAAGTTAAGAATGGTAAAACTGATTGTTCTCTAACTGTATCATCATTATAGCCATGGTTACAACAATTGATTAACAAATTCGTAACTTTACAAAGTGTCTGTTAACGACCCCCTGATTAGCTTGGTTATGTTTTTTGCAAGACTCATCATTAATCTTAAGAGTGTTGGATCAGTCACTATTATAAAGGGTATTTAGTTTTTATATAGAAAACTCGAGAAACAAGTAAGACAAGTTGACATTACTCGCCCATGGGAATTATATCCCTCTGGGTAACCATTACCGCAAATGAGCTATGATTATTCATTGTTAAATAATAATTAGGATGTTTTAGCCTGGGGGATATTTAGAAGACAATTTCCGTGCAGAATTTCATACTTTGTGTTGAGTCGTGAATCACCAGCGATATACAATAGGTTTCCTTTGTATAAATACTGAATCCTGATTTGAATTATATTTGTTTTATTTTTTTCCATCAATTTGCCATTTGCAGTTGGTGAAATTGATGTAAAAATTACCTAGAATATTGAAGTTTGATTTACAATATTACGACCTTGCATCAAGTCTTTATAACCTCCCTCCCCCTACTCCCTCATCTTTGTTTCATTAACCTTTGTTACGATTATAATTTCTTATATGAGTTATAACGATACTTTGATAAATTTTAGAATTTTTATGCATTCCTATTCACTACATCTAAAATTGCCGGTAATGTTTTTTATAAAACTTTGGCAATCAATTGCATGTCTATTTTTGTTAACTAAAGGAATAAATTTATGTAATAATAAAAAAAAAACTTTGTTACGACTGGTGAAAGAAGGGGCGGGGGTGACTTGATGTACATGTACTGAATGATCATATGATATAAGCCTTGTATCATAATTTTAGATCAATTTATTTTTCTCATTTCTATGTTTTTATATGGTTTTACATGGTAACATATGTCATGAGGTCCCATAAATAGAATGCCATGTGTGAAGATGATAATGGGAGTCATGTTTATTTCATTCTCGTTCTCTTTAAAATTTGAATGAACTGCCTGATTTTCTTGCATTTCTATACAATTTAGAATGTTGACTACATGCCTGTATACTTTATTCCTCACTAATTCCTCTCATTTCTCTCTAAAATTTGTTGTACTGTCTGATTTTCTTGCATTTCTGCTCTACCTTAGTGACTAATATGTCATGATATGACATCTAAAAAGAGTCAATAAAAGTTATATATACAATTTAGAGTGTTGACTACATGCCTGTTTACTTTATTCCTTGCTAATTCCACTCTTTTCCACTCTATTTTGCATTTTAAAACATGACTACCATGACCTCCCTGCAGGTGTGACATGTACTTGTATTCTAACACATACAACATATAATTATAGAAATTACATCTTGTCACATTTTCCTCTTACAGGCCCCTAGCCAGCTTTTGCCAAGGGGTGGGAGGGGGTTAAAAAAGCAGGGAGTTCAAATGTGACAATTTTGGCTTAAAATCATATGAAACATGCTAAAAATGGTAAAACTGCATGATTATTTGAAAGAATTTTTGGGGAACCCTGGCATAATCAATAGTGCACTGCCCTCTGACTAAAGCCAAAAAGAGGGCATCACTGAGCGATTTGCATAATGTAAATCATTATTTCAAAGGCTACCCCAAAGCCTCATTTTCCAGTAAGCAATTTTATTCATTGTTCATTTTTTGAATGAGCCATCTGATTTCCTCACAGTTCTTTATAACTTTGTGACTTTGTGCCATTTTCTCTTCTGCACTAATTCTCTTTAACTCTCATGTTGAGGGACACACATGCTATATATAAGACTAGTATAATAACAGTAATTTAGTTCAAATACTAATATGTACATAATCACATGTAATTAAGGAACAGGTGCTAAAATAGCCTCTAGTAAATAAATCAATGTCCACAAGGACTGTCACAATAGGTGGCGTTAAAATCAGTGCATGAAATCTTCCAAGATATTTAAAAAATAATATGCTTCTTTCCATAACTTATGAATTGTTTTTATTTTTATATTTTTCATATTTTCCGCTGTCCTGGGGTATTTCTGGATGATCCTCAATGAAACTATTCTCTTCTCCATACAGGTAAGCCATTTTTGTAGTAATTCTTCATTATTAAGGTAAACCATAGTATTCCTCCATGGATGTGGTGTTTCATCTAATCCGTCCAAGCAAGAGGAGAGAAAACCCCATGATTCAATTGATGACATACGATTTCATCCTTCGCGCACCTCCTTTCCCAGAAGTACTTACCCTCCATCTTGGTTTTCAAAGTTTTCAAATTGACCTAGTTTTAAACCAATCAACTATTGACTAGCTAAACCAATCAGCGACGATGTCATCTCAATACAGATTTACATTATAAGCGTATGTCATCTTTGAACCCTGCGTCCAAGCTTAAGTTAGCATGAGGTCCATAATTATTGGATCCACTGTCTGCACTATCCCTTGGTAGGCTGAATAATTAGAAAATTAATAAGATAAAGAGGGATGATTAATTAACACTTAAATGTCAATTAAATATTTCCCAGAATTTTTAATGTGAAATTTGAATTGAACTCTGACTTCAGGATAATCTTTTATGACCTTTTAAAGGTCAAAATTATCAAATTTTTAAAAACATTTTCTGGAGTTTGAAATAAGTGAAAACGGTTAAAGAGGATCTAAAATGATAAGTCTAAATTTTGAAGATCATAGGCCAAGGTCAAGGTCATGTTCTTTGTTTAAGCTGTTACTGCAGTATACTTTCATATATTTCTCTTGAAAACTTTGTGTCCTAGTAGACAACATTAGGCTTTATAATAATATTGCTGTTGTAAGGTATCTAAAAACCATTATGAGATAGTGTTCGGAAAATAAATCTCAACAAAATTCTTGAAATTCAATGTTGTGAGCATCAAATCAAGGGGAAATCTGCTTAGGATTTTTTAATGTGCAGTCAGAATTTTTAATCTGACTTCCAGGCCTCAAAAAATCTGGCATCTGGAGTCTGAAATTGAACTTGTACAATTTTCAATATCTAAACCACTTATTTTCCCTATTTTTATTGATTTTGAAACATGACATACTGGTATATAGCATACAAAAAGCTTACCTGCTGAGTGGTTTGTACATCTTGGCAAAATGGATCTCCATCTGGTGGTGTGATACAGACACTAGGCAGAACACAACCAAGGTCTTCGCATCGAATAGGGGCCTATAAGTAATTAGATAAATATGAACTCTCATGATAAGAATATAGTAGAACCTGAATAAAGGAAAAGCCCTTGGAACCACAAAAAGTGTTCTACTTACAAGGTGTTCCACTTGCAGGGGTTCAATAACATGGAGTCAATAGGTCACAGGACTATAAACCTGTTCTATATGTGAGATGTTCTACTTACAGAGGTGTCTCACTTAGGGAGCATTTCAAAAGACCAATGTCAGAAAATCAACTGTATTTGCACAGCAAGGGGGAGGGGTAACCTGTCTCTCTCTCGTGGACACCTCTCTCTAGTGAACATTTATCAGCATGTACTCTATTGACTTCTGTATAAAATTGCCTACAGGCCCGTAGCCCCCCCCCCCCCCCCCCGACCAAATAATCTTCCAAAATCATGCAATTTTTCACCATTCTGAGCACTTTTTAAGTGATTTTGGACATTTTAGGACCAAAATTGTCACAAGTGAACCCCCCTGGCATTTTTCAAAAAGTGAACCCCCCTTGACAAATCCTGGCTATGGGCCTGGCCTACCTCCAGTGAACACATTTTTGTGACTCCCCAGGTTTAACTGTATATAATATAGAGTATTAACTTAATGCCTTTTTACTCTATTCTTTGATAATTCCATTTATTTTCTCTTTATTTTTGATTTAAAAACATGATATTATATAGCTTACCGGTGGGGTTGTAACACTGACACAGTATGGGTCTCCCAGGGGTGGTGAGATACAAACACTATTTGGCAGTTCACAGCCAAGGTCTGCACATTGTAGGGCTTAAAATAGAAGAAACAATGGTCTCCTGGAATTATTTCATCAAAAATAGTGCAAAATTGGCCTTTTTGGAGAATGGCAAAACGTTTTAATGACATTTAAAGACATTATTAACAGAGTGACCCCAAAAATACAACTGTCGAATTTTTCATTATTCAGAAGATTCAGTTTTTGTGTCACCTTGTACATATTTGATGCAAGTCTTCTTGGGAATTAACAGATAAAAGATAATAAGGACATATGCAGCTCTTTAAAAGATAGCCTGTGATTTGATGGTCTTCTATCCATCCATGATATTCACTCATGTGCTTAGCAATACAGAGTGACCCAAAAATGCAATCATTTAATTTTCACTATTGAGAGTTTACCATAGTTTTTGCATCACCTTGTACATGTATTTCAACTAAATTGGTTAAGAAATATTGAAATGGCAGACCAATTCCCAGAACTTATGATCACCCTGTACAATGATCACCATGATACAAGTGCTGTAGTTAATTGACAAACATATGAAACAATAAGGAAATATGATTGTTTTGAGCTTGAATGAATTAATGAATAATAAATATGCTATGTGTTTATATTGACCTAGACATACTAGTCTCAATGAGTTACAAATGAATACTAGTTAAGTCAACTGATATAATCAATTATTTATAATTTTACAGATGTGTCTCTAAAATGAGACACTTCTAAAATAAGATACTTTTATAGAAGTGTAAATTTTCCCATCATATTTTTGGAACACCTTTTAAGTTCAGTGTCATGCATGATGTCTCTGATCAAAGAATCTTCTCTCTTTTAAAGAGTGTAGACAGAATTCAGCTCTTGTGAACTGTTCCGAAGGCTATGATTGGCTCAATCAGTATGCATTCCTATTGGTTAATGAAAACTACCTTTTCATTGGATAACAGGACCCTTGGTTTTTATTGGATTAGGTCTTTAACACTTACTTCTCCCTGGACAATCAGCTCCTGTTTCGCACAAACATTTATAAGAATTGTTGGGTTCATCCCTGAAACAGACCTCTCCTTCTAGGCAGTCATGGTTGTTACATAATCCAAGGTAACTCTAGAAATGAAATATAATGAAGTTAAAATATAAACTGAACATCAGAAGTAATATATCTTATTTTATTTTTTGTTTAATTTCATTATGATTTACGTATCTTTAAAATACTCATTTTACATACAGAGCTACGCATTTCTGCAATGCTGTCAGCCGTGATCAACTCCCAGCTAGACGAAGTCTGTTGGCTAGTCAGCTCACCTCCTGGAAGTAAATTTCAAAATTATTTTTCAATAATTTCCCCAGGATTTTTTATATGGAGAATTTAAAACCAACATTTTCAAATTTTTTAATTTCAATTTTTCATGCAAGATTTTTACACTGAATGTTTTTTCTCGGCAAGAAATGTTTGAAATATATACAGGCTTTACTCAATAATATACATATATATATACATGTATAATATACATCGATATTGAAAATAATAAAAAACAGATATATATGATAAAATACAATGAAAATAAGAACTTACCCATTTCACAGATGTGATCTTTCTGGTTATAGGCCGCTGATTTACATTGTGCTCTCAGGGCACACTCAACTAAACATTGCGCTGCCATACTGTTAAAATTTTCAATAGTTTTGAAAATGTTTCCTGGCTCAAGTCGTGCATCTTTGATATATGGTGTTATCTTCTCCATCGTGACCACTTGGGATAATGATTCCCGTAGCAGGAAGTTTATTATCGTGAGAAAGAACATCGGGAGATATATTCTTGTCATGATTGTGGCTGTTTTAGATGATGTCTTCATTCAGTATGATTCGGTTGTTATGCCCCATCACTAACATCAAACCAGAAGATAAATTGTCAAATGGCATTGATATAAAATCAGAAATTGAATAAAGAGAAATAGCAGGAGAAATTGTGCAAAAAATATTGCATAAAGATTGTTTAAAAATCTACGAAAATTGGTATGTTTGTTTAGATATAAGTGTAAATCTGAAGAAATAAACATGATGTTTTGAAATTTTGTTCCTGGGTACGCTTTATATACTTCAATTGTTCAACAGTTCCCATTTGATGTTGTAGCAATGAATTTCCATTGCCCCATCAACAAATATTTATAATTTATGTGTTTTGAACATTTTGACAAATACATAATAATACTTGATTGTATTTTTGATATGTTTTATTGGTTTCATAATTTATTTATAATACAATATTGTGGATGTACCAGATTCAATTGTTTGTCTAAGTTCAATTCAATTGCCTCCCAGTATAAAATGTCCTCCGCCATATTACTATCCAATTTTTGCGTCCAAACATACAAATTTTACAGTTGTTGTTTATTCCTTTCCTCAAAGTGCCTAAAATTATCGGGGAATTTCAGAATTCTGAGAAAGACTAAATGAAAACTTCATAAGTCACAAACATTAAAAAAAAATACTACAACTATCTCTCATTTTAAGAGTTGAGATAAAATTTGAGAATTTGTAAAGGGTGATAAAGAGAAGTTATTGGATTTCAATAGTTGTTATTTCAAAGTTGATTACAAACAAATACAACCAAAGGCATATAAACAAGGTACATCTGTAGGATAAAATATCACATGCTTTAGAGTACTTTCCAGAATGATTTCCTTGGTTGGATGTAAGATTCTCATTTTTAATATTCAGACAAGTCAGCCAGAATATGCCAGTTTTTCATGATACTTCTCATTTTCAGGTGCAAAGTGTTAATCAAATGGGTACAACGCTAGTTTCAAAATTCCAAATATGTGCAACTTTTACTTTTTTATTATTAAATACTTTAGAGATCAATGCTTCTTTTTAAAACAGCTATTTTCCAATATATTAAGCTCCGAGAAGTCCATAACAATATGCAACATTTCGCAAATAAAAATATACATACAAGCACTTAAAAAGCATCAGAAATCTTCATTAGTATGCCTTCAGATAGCATTTGGCCCATATAATCTGAAATTTCTCCAGCATGATTTTGAAATACTCAATGTTAAGGAGCTCCTCAGCTGCACTCATAAATTCTTCTTGATTTTATCAGTGCAATCCTCCCCTTTTGCTCTGACTTTTTCACCCTATACAATTTTTCAGACATTTTTGACATAACATACTGTTAAGCTAGGGGTGCCTACTAAAATTCCCAGTGCAATTTCTGTATTCATCCCAGGAACGTATTTCAATATTTTTTCTCACAACTTTTCTGGGTTTTATTATTCCGGCTAAAAACGTGATTAAATTGGACATTTATAGTTTGTTGCAGTGATAAGTATTTAAGTAAATGTTTTTGACAATTTTAGCATATCCCTTGGGAGATATATGGGAGGTATATCAGCTGATGGTAAAAATACCAAATCCTGATGCATTAGGACTGTCTCCATAGAGAAATAGAGTAAAACCTGTAAAACAGCCTAATCTGACTGCCACTGGTAAAAAATGGTCAAGAAAATCATGACACTGTATTCCTCTTATAAGTAGCTGACTTTCGTAAAATAAAATATCAGGTCCTGATGCATTAGGAATTGTGTCTCCTTAGAAAAATACAGTAAAACCTGTCTAATCCAAACGCCACTGGCACCAGCCAAAAAGTGTTTGGATTAGCAGGTGTTCACATTTCAAGGGTTTCTTAATCTGTGAATCTGTAGGAGATAACTTTGGGGCAGGGAAAAAGTGTTCACATTGAGAGGTGTTGGATCAGAGAGGTGTTCAGATATAAAGGTTTCACTGAACATTTAGTTATATTTGCTATAATAAGCAGAAAATACTCTTTGTAACATCTCGCTCCATAGGGGTTTTGATGAAAAATAAAAAAAAATTAAAAGTGGTTTTACTTTTCTGTATGATGATTTAGTATATCAACTCTGTAGTCCAACATCTACACCTGTTAGTTGCAACAAAATGTGTACTGCCTCAGATAAAAATGTCATTTAATCAGATACAACTCACTTGCTGTGCTTATAAAAATATTACTTGGGGTGAATGGGAGAGTGATGGCCAACCATAGTTTCAGAAAGCCATTATAGAAAATCGACATCGAACTGATTATCCCTATATTTTGTGCTGCATATTTCTCTTGATTTTGGGAAACTCTGGCTGCCGTAAGGTTGCCGTATATCAAATGAGACTGAGGCATTTAGCATCGTCAGTATGCATGTTGTGAGACTATTGTTAATCATGATTTTTCAGGATTATACAAAAGTTCTATTTTCCCAAAAATAATACAGATTCTGCAAATGTTGGACTGTTCGTTTATAAAATGGTTTGGTCATGAATTTTCATGTGGGGATGTAGTATGAGTTTCCATCAATTTACCAAGCTACCTTAAATATAAGAAAAATGCACCAACTTCATCCTGACCAAAAACCCTTTTTTGCTTCTTTAAAAGACAGCTTTATCCTCATATACTAGACTCTGACCCCTAGGATAACATAAATCAGAGGTTAACCACAGATGAAAGAGGATCAGGGAGGGCCTGACACAATTTTTCACTTTTTAGTGCATCAACACTTTATTTGATTATCTCTTTGTTTAGGTTTGTCCATGTTGACAAGTGTGGAATAACCTGTTAGGAAAAAATCATATGGGTCACGTTTTGAAATGCAAAATAGAGTATGAAAGAGTGGAATAAGCAAGGAATAAAGTAAATAGGCTTGTAGTCCACACTCAAAATTATACAAAAATGCAAAATGAATTAACACTTTATTCAAATTTTAGAGAGAAATTGTGTGATATAGGTATGAGCAGACTGTCATTTTTTGTGTGATTTCTGGTGGTCTCCAATGTGAATTAATCACCTGTTATCTCAACTGTCAACTATGATAAATCCCAGGGACTAAAATGTCCCCCTGGTTATCCTTAGTTTTCTCTCCATTCCTATACAATATATATTGTATTAGTTCAAGTTCTGACAAAAATATCTGAATGAAGTATACCATTATCATTTTACTGTATTCTATTGTCTTCCAAAGGAGAAGTCTCTCAGCAAGATGCCATCTCCCATACCATGTACTTTCACTCCCTTCTTATACATTCTCACATATGTATGACCCCACCTCAACAGGCTTCCAGGTTCCCATTTCTGAACATCATCCCTATGAACTTTACCAGGCAGTTTATATCACCCCCCCCCCATATTCTCTCCTAGATTTCTTGATTCATGGGGAAATGGGTTAAGACGTGATCAGAATTGTCTAATGGCACTGTTTTTTGGTATATTGAGTGCCAGATCTCTCTTTCAAAGAAACAAAATTCATACCATTGGAAAGGATAAGCTTTAGCCAGTTTTCATCAAAGTTGACCTAGTTGACCACCAGGAATGTCAGATTGCCCCATGTGTTTATTGTTTTTTAAGAATTTTAATTTGATACTATTTTATTTGTATGACTTACATTATGTATTGGGAACTGGCCAAATACTTGAAAGACAATTTTGCATTAAATTAGTTAGCTTCAAGTGAAATGATATTCATTTAAATTAATTACCGCAAACCATGCTTCATAATTCTTCTCCGTGTATGATGTATGCAGTGGTCTCCCCAGCATTAAAGAAAGTAGGCGTAGCACCCTGAGATTTTGAAAACAGCCTTGCACCCACCTGAAAATCCATTTGCACCCACTTGAAATTGAGAAAAAACATGAAAAATTGGCATATTTTCAAAATTTTGGTCTGAATTGTGAAAATGAGAATTTTGCACCCACTTGAGAAAAAATCCTGGGGAGATCACTGGTATGATTTCTTTGTTAAAAATGAATAATTTATAAAGATTTGAAACAAAGATATCTCAAATTAAAACTGATAAAAACATGGGCTGTACATTTTGATAACCACAGGCTCTAATTTGATAGAGTGCATCTTGTAGATCAGAATGTGAATAACCTGATATACGAGTATTAGCAACCAAACCTGTTTTGAAAAGGGTATAATTTGGGTCGTATGCTTCTAGATTTCATTGTTCATTAAAAAGTCTTGATAATTAATACTTCATTGCATTAATGCGGGCAAATATGTCAATTATTGAAATTTGAACATGGTGCACGGTGTTGTGGCTTATAAGGACATATAAGAAAGAGGGATGGATTTCATAATTTCAGTTTGCTTTAAGGTAGGTATGGTAAAGGAAATTTGAACCCATTTTCAAATTGTCTACAGTAGGGGTATAAAAATGTTTGAGGTATCTTGTTAGTAAAGAAGTTGGGGGGGGGTTAGACCCTACCTACTCTAACAACTTGTGTCGCAAGGGGTTGTAGCTAGACTAGTTGGGGGTATGTAAGGTTGCATGACTTTATTATCCATTCATCTTGGACTACTTTAAATCATTAAGAAATGATATATATGATAATTCATCATAAGATGGCCCTTTAGCTTCCTTGTAATCTATTCTCCACCTTTATTGCTGTCTGTCTGGCTGTAATTCAATAATCCACCCATAAAACACAAATCTACGAGTCTGTTGTCTGCTTCAGAAAGAATTAACAACATTTCAACATCTGTCTACAAGAACTTTTACGCAAGCTTTTTAGCTTTAACATTCACGTAACAAAAACATGTTTTCGAAATTGAATCTTCCGTGTAAGATTTGGGAAAATATATTGCATTTCTGGGGTTGATGTATCTTAATTTATTTTCAAGAAATGGTAAAAAAGCTATTATGTTTTTGTAAAGGTTATCGGAAAAATTAAAGGGACCTGTGATCATATGGATGAGTAATGGAGTTTTTATAGGCATGATAGAATGTAATTAAATTACGTGTGATGGCATCAATTTATCTCCAAATTAGTGTCGAGGATTATGCTGAGCTTCGTATTAATAT